TTCACACTGATAGAAGTCAGCTGCTTAAGTCAATCCTATTGTATTGGATACCCTCATCAGCTACCTTTAGAACAATGATTACTATTCTTAATCAAAAAGCTTTACAATCTCCCAGTCCTGAGCTGCTGATTCTTTCCATTTCTCAAATGGATCACAGCTGAGACGATTAGCTCTGCATTTTATACCATGGTATCTTTTTATTTTACATACATGTTTTAGTTATTACTTTATGCTAGGCACTCTGCTGAGCAATTTACATGCATTATTTAATTCTTCCATTAACTTTTGAGGTAGTACCATTATTATTTCCATAATATAAATAGGACTGAAGCTTGCCAAGGACAAAATACTCCCCTCAAATTAAGAGGGCTAGAACATGGAAGAGCAAGAACTCTAACCCAGATTTATTTGATGCTGGAATACGAGTTCTTAATTCTGGGTAAGTATGCAGATAATGAGATGGATAGTGACATGAGAGGGCTTTGGAAGGTAGTCTGGAACAAGGAGGTATTGGGAGGTAAAGGGTCTTATAGGCTATTTTGAGGAATGTGTGCTTTAACTTAAGAGCTATGGGATATCACTGAGGAATTTTAATGAAGGATAAATGATATGATCAAGTTTTTAAATACAAGTTTGGCTGTTATGTGGACAACTAACAGTGGTGATGGTAAATACAGGGAGACCAATTAGAAAGCTATTTCCATATTCCATGTAAAATATATCAATATGCATTGGACAAGGATGAAATGGAAATAGATTGAAGGGATCACATTCTAAACATATTTAGGAGATAAAACCTACAGGTCTTGGCAACTGATTGGATGTGGAGGGTGAGGGAGAGGAAAGAGTCAAGAATGACTCCATAGTATGAATTCTCTCATGATGAGCAAGGTGTGCACGCTGCCTGAAAGATTTCCTGCAATCCTTACATTCATATGGTCTCTCCCCAGTATGAATTCTCTGATGTAGAGTAAGAGATCCACTATAGCTAAAGGCTTTCCCACAAATATTACATTCATAAGGTTTCTCTCCAGTATGAATTCTCTGGTGTTGAGCAAGGCCTGCATTCTGGCTAAATGTTTTCCTACATTCCTTACACATATAGGGTTTTTCTCCAGTATGACTTCTCTGATGTTGTGCAAGTGAAGAACTATTGCTAAAGGCCTTCCCACATTCAATACATTCATATGGTTTCTCTCCAGTATGAACCCTCTGATGTTGATCAAGGTATGCAATCTGGCTGAAGGCTTTCCTACATACTTTACATTCATAAGGTTTTTCTCCAGTATGAACTCTCTGATGTTGAGCAAGATGTGCATACTGGCTAAAGGCTTTCCTACATTCCTTACATTCATAAGGTCTCTCTCCAGTATGAATTCTCTGATGTACAATTAGATATCCACGATGGCTAAAGGCTTTCTCACATACATTACATACGTAAGGTTTCTCTCCTGTATGAATTCTCTGATGCTGAGCAAGAAATGAACCATTACTAAAGGCTTTCCCACATTCAATACATTCAAAAGGTCTCTCTCCAGTATGAACTCTCTGATGTTGAGTCAAGTGTGCAATCTGGCTGAAGGCTTTTTTACATTCTTTACATTGATAAGGTTTCTCTCCAGTATGAACTCTCTGATGTTGAGCAAGATGTGCATTCTGGCTGAAGGCTTTCCTACATTCTTTACATTCATAGGGTTTCTCCCCAGTATGTATTCTCTTATGTTGAGCTAGGTTTGCACTCTGGCTGAAGGTTTTCCCACATTCAACACATGCATACGGTTTCTCTCCAGTATGAATTCTCTGATGAAGAGTAAGGGATGAGCTCTGATTGAAGACTTTCTCACATTCATTACATTTCAAAAGTTTCTTTTCCACATAGACTTTCTTATGTTTCGTTTCAACAGATTTTTTTCGGTAACTTCTCTTTTGTGGATCACGCCTGTGTACTTTTTCTTTGGTGGGAAAACTCTGTTGTATATCAAGTATTGCTTCTGGATCGAATATTTGCCAAGATTTATTATATTCATTACTTTGATCTTCTGGCATGATTTTTTTATGCGTGATGATGAATTGACTAGAATGAACCTCCTGACTTCCCAACTGGTTCTTAAACCAGTCTTCACTTTCACAGTCTTCTCTCATACTAGGGCAGTCAAGGTTATAAGTAAGATGGCTTCTTCCCATTGTCATTGCTTTGGGTGACTCTTCATAAATATCTTGCTTTGATGAGAGTTCACTGTTTTTAAACACATACTCCCAACCTAAAAGATAAGAAATATATGAATGTCTTTTATATTTATTCGTTAGAAGAAAAGAATCTTCTAAAAAAATAGGTGAATAAAATACATAATAAGTTCAAGGACTTAACAGCTCTTAATGCAGTCTAAAAAATATGATAACAAAGAATGAGAACTTAAGTTGATTAAAGAAATAAATTAATCATAAATAATAAGGCAAATACCAGAAAAGCAGAAACATTGAAGAGGTCATCTAAAATCACAATCATCATTTAATATCAAAGTCAATATAACAGTTTTCAAACACCTTTCCTCTCGTGCCACAGATTATCCTGCATTGAAGCAAAGTTAATTATCTTTAAAAGGCCATTTTTTAAATGTCAATAATGAGGCTAAAAACCCCCTTTGGAACTGCTGATATAAAGATACACCAGGCACTATTAGTATCCTTAGGATGCACATGAAATACTATGGTTAAACTTCTGCAGTTAGAAAAAGGTTTTCCTGAAAATCATTTTC